AGAGACGGGGTTTCACCATGTTGACCAGGATGGTCTCGATCTCTTGACCTCGTGATCCACCCGCCTCAGCCTCCCAAAGTGCTGGGATTACAGGCTTGAGCCACCGCGCCCGGCCCCATCTAATTTTTTTAATCCCGTATTTTTTGTAGAGACAAGGTCTCACTGTGTTGCCCAAGCTGGTCTTAAACTCCTGGCCTCCCAAAGTGCTGGATTACAGGCCTGAGCCACTGTGTCCAGTCTTACATCATCTTTGACAATGAAATTGTCACCTGTAAACAGAGTTCTTTCCCTACTCTGCATTGGTTGCAAAGAAAGAACACCCAATTGGAAACAAAAAGGCAAGCAGGTGTTATTCCTGACTAGGATGGGGAAGGGGAGGACTCTTGCTCTAAAGACACCTTATTGCCAGGCGTGGTGGCTCACACCTGTAATCCCAGCACTCTGGGAGGCCGCAGTGGACCACCTGAGGTCAGGAGTTAGACACCAGCCTGATCAACATAGTGAAACTGCATCTTAACTAAAAATATAAAAATTAGCTGGGGGTGGTGGCACATGCCTGTAATCCCAGCTACGTGGGAGGCTGAGGCAGAAGACTGGCTTAAACCCGGGAGGCAGAGGTTGTAATGAGCCGAGATGGTGCCACTGCACTCCAGCTTGGGCCACAGAGGGAGACTCAACAAGAGCAAAACTCCATCCAAAAAAAAAAAAAAAAAAACACCCATAAATAAGTAAAAAGCAAAGATGCCTTATCACCCAGCTGTGGAGAGCTGGGAAATTTTAAGGAGTTAGATGTGGGGTGGGGAGGTATGTCAGCATGAGCAGGGAGTAACTCCAGATGCAGGTACAGATCATAAACACCCCTCTTCACATGATGTATGTTCAGCAATTGGCGAATGTATTTTCCTCCATGGGGGGGGGGTTAGCATAATTATATGTTAATGATCTAAAGGTAACCCTGGGTCACTGTGTCTGGTTTGCACTTTTTTTGCCCAGCCTTATCTTCCTCCAGTAATGGGAAAGGAAGCGGCCTGAACCTTCTGTGGCCTTTCAGGACATCTGCAGTTCTTTTAGGCAATGCACCTATAAATAAAGAGACTAGAAAAGAAAAACGGTTTAAGAAAATAATGAGGCCAGGCACAGTGGCTCAGGCCTGTAATCCAAGCATTTCGGGAAGCCGAGGAGGGCGGATGGCTGGAGCTCCGGAGTTAAACAGCCTGGGCAACGGGGCAAAACCAGGTTTCTACAAAAAATGGTGCGGCATCCACCGTAGCCCCAGCTACTTTGGGAGACTGAGGCGGGAGGACTGCTTGAACCTAGGAGGTTGAGGCTGCAGTGAGCTGTGACCGTGCCACTGCTACAATCTGGACAACAAAGCAAGACCCTGTCTCTAAAGTGAAATAGAAGCTTTTCATTCTCAGCTACACCTGCAGGGCTGCCCTGGTAGAAAAAAAATATATATGAGATGATATGTCTGGGTCAATTACATAGAAGAGGGCCTGATGCACAGTCAGCACTATACAAGGGCTGGTTGTGGTGGCAGAACAAAGATAAGGACAACCAGGATGAAGCAAAGCAAGAGGAAACAGACAGTACAAACAGGGACAGAGACGATTTGGAAACCGAGTGTTGGAGGCCAGCCCTCCCTGGCAGAGGCCAACCTTGGGTTGAAGTCCTCACACCCGACTGGGATCCCAAAGGCCTGCGGCCAGCAGTGATGTTCCAAAAGCTTGCCCGGGACGGGGAAGCCCAACTGCAAACCCTTTCTCAGCCCTGCACATAAAAGCCAGCATGGGCCGTCGAAACTCTGTTGCCCAGGTGGAGACTGCTCTGGACGCCTCCCAGGGTCCAGCGGACGGCAACACCTGCCACAGCGCGAGGCACAAAGGGTGCACTACAGGAAGGAGTGGGGGCAGAGACCGAGGCGAGGAGGGGACCGCCCAACTGTCTCTCCCCTGCGTGTGCTGCACCTTCGCACTCCGAGCATCGCCTCCCCTTGAGAGCCTGATCCAAGGCGGGGGCTGGACGCGTGGGCCCCTCTCTTTGGCCTCCCTGACGTCCCTGGCCTCCTGCAGGAGCAGAGATGCGGCCAAGTGTCGCGGCCGCGGTGGCCGCGGGGCTGTGGGTCCTGTGCACGGTGGGTGCGGCGGCCCCCCGGCGCTGCCTGCTCTCGCACTACCGCTCGCTGGAGCCCCGGACGCTGTCGGCGGCCAAGGCGCTGAGGGACCGCTACGTGAGTGACCGCCCAGGCCCTGCGTCCCCGGGACCCTGGCCCCGACGGGTTCCCACACGTCCGTCCCTGTCCCGAGGGGTCCTACGTCCTAGAGCCTCTCGTATGTCACAGCCCACAATTCCCAACACGAGACCCCCGCAGACCCCGTCGGCAGCGCGAACGCAGGCCCAGGGTCAGTCACAGAAGGGCGCCCGGCCGGGCGGACTCGGCTCCAACTCGGGGCGCAGGGCTTTGCTGAGGGAGCGCGGGGTGCAATTCAGCCCCGGTTCACGCACTCGGAGAGCTCGTGGTTCAGTGTACGACACGCACAACGGTACCCGGCCAATGCCTATCCACGTCCAGGAATCCCAGACGGCACAGCGGTTAGGGGCCCTGGCGAGGGGGCCCATCCCTACGCTATCGATAGCTGCCGCTTGTCCCGCAGGAGGAAGAGGCGCTGAGCTGGGGACCGCGCAACTGCTCCTTCCACCCCAGGAGGGATCCTCCGCGGCCGTCGGTGAGGCCCGGGACGGGAGGCGGGGGAGGCACGGCCCGATCGCGGCCCCCTCTAACGCCCGCGCGTCCCCGCAGTCCTGCGCTTGGCTCCGACACGTGGCCCGAGGCATCGCGGACGCCCAGGCCGTGCTCAGCCGCCTGCACCGCCCGGAGCTGCTCCCCGGCGCGGGCCCGATCCTGGAGCTGCTGGCGGCCGCGGGGAGGGACGTGGCGGCCTGTGTGAGTGACCGCCGCGCCCCGCCGCCCCTTGCCCCCGCCGGCTTCTCTGCGTCCTCAGGCCCTCCGCGAGCCCAGCGCTTTGCGAGTCTGTCCCGCTTAGCGGAAAAACCCGTCCAGACCCGGGTCGGGTCCTCTGGGTGTCCACAAAGCCGGGCTCGGGTCTGCGGCTGGGGGGCCACGGGCAGATGCACAGGGAGTGGGGGGCCCCGTCCTTCGCCTTCTCCATTTGCCCCGTGTCCCCCCTCCAGCTCGAGCTGGCCCGGCCCGGCTCCTCCAGGAAAGTCCCCGGGGCCCCGAGGAGGCGTCACAAGCCGCGGAGAGCTGTGAGTGCAGCCGGAGGGACCGGCTTAGCCTGCAGGGAGGAGCGGGCGAGGCGGACAAGGCCGGGACTGAGCAGGGCTGGGAGCGGCGGGACTAGAGGGGGCTCCTCGGGAGGGAAGAGCCTGGCTCAGCCCCGCTGCGCTCCTCCCGGGCTCCAGGACTCGCCTCGGTGCCGCGAAGCCCGCGTGGTCTTCAACCTCCTGCGCCTGCTCACGTGGGAGCTCCGGCTGGCGGCGCACTCGGGGCCTTGCCTCTGACCCCGCCCCTTCCGCCAGCCCCGAAACCTCCACGCCATTGGCTGCCGAAAGTGGCCCCTTTCGCCCATTGGCCCGACCAGGGGAGGCTCTCAGCCAATAGGCACTGAGGCACGAGAACTTCTCTGCCATCTTGGGCCTGACTTGGATCCTCTGTCTCGGTTACAAGAAGCGCGGGTCCTTCCTCCAGGGAAGAGAGCGCCGTTCCCCAGGAAGCAGCGATGTTTCCTTGGGGTGCATTGTACGATCCCCCAAGGGCCGCTGTAGCAGGAAGAGACTTGAGCTCTGGAAACCGTGGCTGACCCCAGGCACGGCACCAGTTCCTCCTCGTGTGGTTACCAGGACACCCCCAAACCCGGGACCCAACCCTGGTTTTGTAGCCCCACAGCCAGCTTTGGGATTCTGTGAATCCGTGACTCTTGGATCCGGCATCTGGGGGGTACCATTCCCTGAGGGATTTGGTAGTGAAATCCAAGAATCCTTACCTGACTGTAGTTGTTTAGATTCCCTGACCTATGTTGTTTGTAGTTGTGAAATTCCTGTGTATTTGCTCTTCTGTCTCCTGGTTTAAATTGACTGCAGTTATTAAAGAGTGTTTTGATTGCATTGGTTGTTTTCCGTAGGATGGTTCTGAGGGGCACCTTACAGCAAAAACAGAGGCTGAGCCAGGGACTCGGGTGGCCTGAGTTTCAGTTCTCACCCTGCCAGTTAATTCCAGTGTAATGCAGGACAAATTGTTTTCTGAGCCTGTGTTTCCTCACCTATAGGATGGGTTAGTATACTTGCCTTGTGGAGGAGTAGTGTACGTTGAGATCACGTTTTAAACTCTCCAGCTGAGGTCCTGGTATGGTCTTAATGAGTGGGTCCCATTAAATAATCACTCACATAAACACACAAACAGTTGTGTTTTTCATTTTTTCTCCACATCTGTGCATCAGGAATCTGTGTTGCTGAATGCACCCCTCCTTGCCAAGGTCACACAGCTAGTGAGGGTCACAACTGGATTGAACCCTAGACCCTTCAGCTCCAGGACTCATGCTGTTCATCACTGCCTGAAGTTCCCTAAGAAGAACAGCACCCACGTGGTGTCCAAGTCCTTGGTCACACCTCAATTCTTGAGCAGAGCCTCATATTCCTGAGCCTTTCCTTGCCTGGGTAATTAAGAAATGTTGGCCTCTGGGTGTGGTGGATCACACCTGCAATCCCAGCAATTTGGGAGGCCGAGGCAGACAGATCAGTTAATGTCAGGAGTTTGAGACCAGCATGGTCCAATATGATGAAACACTGTCTCTACTAAA